AAACAAGGTAAGCCGAGAGAAACAGGCCAAACTCCAGAAGAGGGTTGCACTCAGAAAATTATTAGAAGGAAAAAAATAATTTTTTTTTCATAAAATTATGATTTATTTGAATTTTGTTGACTAATCTTAATCTCGGCTAATCTTATTTCTCAAATGTTTTTTTTTCGGTAAGTCATTTCTTCGTAAATTTTTTATTAAATCTAATGATTGAGCCCTCATTTTGAAAATCTTTTCTTTTAGGTGGAAAAATAGTCTTAGTACAATAATTCTCCCCCTCCCTCCAACGAACTGTACCCATGATTACTAAATTCCTATTAAAAAAAAATATCATCGAATTTAAGACCATTATTATCTGAGACTGAATGACTTCCTTAACCCATTTTAGAAACTCCATTATTTTAGAAGTTTCTTCTCAGCCGGTTCGTATCTATCTTACTGAAAAAAAAAATAATAATGGATCTGTCTGACTTCTATCATTTCATGACTCCAAGGATATAAAATTCAATCCTCAAACGGTGCGCATTGACTATAAACTTGCTACCTTAAGAAGGATTAATACCCTTTTAATAACGTGCCATGCGGGTTGTATAAGAAACACGTATTCGTTTCGAGAGGAATATGAGTGTACCGTTAGATTATTTCTTCGCTCTTCGTAAGGCGATTTCATTTTAAGATGTAAAAAATTCTAGCATGAGGAGAACGATAATTAAGTACTTGTAAGTAGCAGGAATCGTCTTTATACAGGCGATAAACCCAGAAAAACACCATGCAGTTACAAGTCATATAACAGAAATTATGGCAATATTTATTAGTTGAAATTTCCTCATTCTAACGAGATCAAGTATTTATGAATATAGTAAAAAAAAAAAAAAATCGATAAAGATCTTTCCACAGCAGTCATATATTTCAACCTAAAAAACCAAGAGTTTTACCAGATTCCTTTTTTGTTTCATTTTCGAAACCGACCCGGTTTCCTCAACTTTCTCCCCATTTTTGTGCTTTTGATCGATCGCATCCGAACGGAGACAGTTTCAAGACTTCGCTATTTTATTATCACAGAATCTGATTTAACATATTTGTATAACTAATATAAAGAACTATTTCTCGCCCAATAACAAGTGATAAGGTCAACCGCCATGTTTTCCAAGAATATATCCTCCTCCCCCACTTCAGCTAATAAATTAAAAATTTCAATATATATCTATATATATAAACTACTTTTTTGGGACCTCCCCTTTCTCGCCGTTAAGGCTATACGGGGTTTTCCCGTGCCAGGGAGTGTGGGCGGGGATTTAAAAGACTCACTAGCCACCGGGACGAGAACTCGTGACTATTTTTATACCATTAGTTCATATGGTATAAGTTTATCTATTTTTGAATAATAAATTGCTGTCGTTGACATGATTTTTGAAAGACTATAAGAAGGAGGTTCATAAGATCCATACTTCTCAAAATTTACATTGGGACCGCAATCATACTTTTGGGTGCTACCTGAAATTGAAGTAATAAAAATCAATAAACGGTAAACGACTTTATTTACAACACGTTAAGGTCATATGCCATCCCTCGAGTTGCCTGGCAACCGGATAAGAGATTTGGGAAGATAAAAAAGTATGAGTTCGTATCCCGGTGACGGAGGGGATTTTAAATTCCCCGCCCTCACCCTCCGGCCCAGGAAAATCCCGTATAGCCTAAAAGGCGAGGTAGAGAAGAACAAAAAAAAAAAAAAAAGGTCATATGCCGTAACCTAATACCTGTCGCCATTTCTTTTTATCATAGCAGTCTTCCTCCCGGAGCTCCCTTCCTCTTTTCCAATGGTACATGCTGAAGTATTCTTTTAGGACGTCCGTCGATCATCATTCTCATTACACGATGCCCAAACCAACTCAGCTTTTCTCAATGGAATACAGGACGTTGAGGAGTTCGGTCACTTTAGCCATAATTGCATTGTTTGGAACATGTTATAATCTTGATATTCTTCAGCTACGTCTCCACAAATTCATCTCCATTGATTACAATTCTTGCTGACTCGGTCGAAATCGTCCAGATTTCTAATGCAAGATGAGGTAAGAAATAAAACATAGTAAAATTTAATGTTTTGTGTTTCCCAACATCGTTCAATTTAAAATTGTTCGTGGTTGTCTGACCATTATACCAACAATCATCTTGATAATAAATTTTCTACTACAGCCAGACTTCAATATGAGATTGATTATTTAAAAATCCGATCCAATTCACTCTCTCCTTAATTATAACTTACTTTCATATAATTTAATCAATATTGCCTTTTGTAATTAGTTATTTTAAATTCATAAATATTATTTATACTGGGAATGGGAAAGCTCAGTGGTAGGGCACTGATTTCCAATGCTCAAGGTCCCTAATTCGAATCCCAGTTCATGGCAGAAAAATTATTTATTCTGTTCCATCAGCTGTGGGACGACTCTGGCATAACGAGACCCTCCTGGAGCACACTCAGTCTCTATACAGTGGGTACCCTTAATTAAATAATTAATTAAGGGGGAAAACCTGGCGGTTGAGTACACAATTACAGATTTTTGTAACATTGTTTTCATCAACCAAATAACTATTTTTTTTTTTGTTTTTTGTAGGTTATATACAAATTTATAGAAACATTTATAGATACAAATTTACAAGGTTATTTATAGATAAATTAGTTCCATACCCTTGAAATCGTCCGAGTAAAATAAAATTAATTTAAAGAAAATAAAGGGTAATAGAAACTGTCACACTGTAGAGTAAATGAGGGAGTAATAAGGAATGTTTTTTTTTTTTTTAATTATTATCTATAGTGCATAATTATTTATGTGTACTTTAGTAATATAAGATAATTTTAATATTTTATATTAAATATTTTTAACACATTGTTAAATTATCACATAACGTGGTTTTAACAATATGTTTAAATATATTCTACCTTAGAATAAAGAAAAGATTTATAACTTTTAATAGTTGCATGCAGTCCACAATAATCTTAGCATCAGGCAGTAAAAGTTTAACTACTCACCATAAAACAGCCAGCAATAATAACTAAGGTGACATACCTGAAAAAAAAATAGAAAGGTTAAAAAATTTAAATATTAAATAGAAAGTTACTGATCATAACTGTTTTATCAGATCAAACCTAGGAAAAACTTTTAGTTTTTTGATATTCATTTGCTATGAAAGTAACCGATTGTTTGAGAACTAATCTACAATACATTTCCAATTCAGGGAAATTATATTATAGTAATAATTAAGAGAAGGATGGTTGGAGTGATCAGTCAAAATAAAAATGGCAAAAATAAATTAATTTTAACATTCGCCGACGTTTCGACCAGGATAATGATCACCACACGAGGAAATAATTTTCTCGGGTTATAATTGAAATAAACTATATCTTCGACTGCGTTCTAGCGAGAAAAGGATTGAGATCAACAAATTTAAAACTCTTGTGAATGAAACTAAAGAATTATATCTTCGACATCATTCTTAGAAACGCATAATCTTTATCTTAACATTAATATACGGTTGTGATATTTATTCATCATTCAATTATTCTTATCAGTGTTATCACAACTGTAGCGTATTGAATGTCATTCGTTCTGAGAGTTTCACGAATTCATTACTAAAACTTTTCAAGTTTGTTTCTACTTCCATTTTTTTTTTTTTTTTTAAACAACCGGAATGATTTTAATAGGTCGAAATACGGAGGAGAGCTCCACAGCTAGATAAGGGAACTTGAAAAGGCAGGCAAGTTAAAGCGACGTCAGGTTCAAGATAACGTCAGCGGTGAAAAGTCTACGTACCTCTCTGACCCTAGCAATAACTTACGGAGCTCGTCAAACATTTCTGTATATATATATATATTTTTTTTTTATCCAAGTTGCTTCATAAGAAATATATAAACATTTTAAAATATGTCAATAATATCTATATTAAAAAAATTGTAAGAACTTTATTACTGCAAATGAAAAAAATATATTGAATATTTGACCGTTGCATTATAAACGAAGGGAATGGTCTGGGGTCATAAATATACTAAATAGTGACACAACTATCTTATTAAAAGCTATTTTATTGGCTTTTAATAAAATAGTTTTGCCAATATTTAGCATATTTATGACCGCCACCCCGCACACCTCCTCCCTTTAAAATATATATTGAAATTTACAATTATATTAAAATAAATATGCTGCAAATTATTTTATAATGGTTTAATATTTCCAAAAAATTATACATCTAAAGCAACATTTCCTTCCTATCAACAGATAAAAAGAAAAAAAAAAAAGGTTATTACTATTATTGGCTAAAACAAAATAGCATTACTTCAGTAACACTTTTAAAAATCAAAACAAAGTATACAATATTTGCAGTACAACATATAAAAAATATCTAGATACCATGCCTTTGCTACAAATTGTCCGATTTCAACATTTTGTTGTAGTTTTTTTTAAAGGAAATTTCGTTAACTTTTAAATAACCATATACAATATCAACAAAATAATTTTGGAAATTTAATTTTACCATCCCTCGTAACTTTTTTTCCAGCTTCTTTTCTTAAAAGTATGTTATATAGATAAATTTGAAGGTCGTCGAGAAGAAGACTATAGCCAAGTTTCATCGAAATCGGTACATGCGTTTAGGCGCTACAGTATATAGCAACACACGATTTTCGGCCGCCATCTTGAAAGGAAAATTCGGATAGTAATGTAGATGTAGGAGGACCTCTGACTTTATATCTAAATTTGAAAAAAAAAAATCGGCACAGTAGTCTTGGAGAAAATGGGCGGACGGCGGACGGACCAAAAAATTTGTATTCGATTTTCAAATTCTACATACCCCGTAACGTAAAACCTCAAATTTTGAGGGGAGGTTAAGTTTTTGGATTTTTTAGACGATAGCAATGGTTCATTATTGAAAATAATGAAGAAAAAGCTATCCATTGATGGCACTCTAACAATAGTTTTATATTAGAAGGTATTAAGGCCATATTATTTTCAAACGGCTAGGAGAGTTAAATTCGAAGACAAGGTAAGAAAGGAATGTTTTTATGATGGTTCTGAAGTTTATCATAGAAGGACGGGTATCTGGATCGGGCCATATCGAAAATATATTGAACATTAAGATCGTCATAAATTATTTTATTTGTAACAAAGTAGCTTAAAGAATTTTACGACGAGCTTTGGATTGTAAGAATTAAATAAAATAGGAAATCGATGGTTTAGTGGGTCTCCAAAGGGTAAGTCCAAAAGTCTTAACAGACCTTATTCTATAATAAACCAGGATTATACATGACTATATGTATTTGAATGTTAGGTAATTAATTGGAAGCTACTAGGAGCGTTTGTCTAGTTAGTGGAACGAAGAAACCATTGAAGCGATTTCTTGTCGTTTCAGGCTGGTATGAGGACTGCAAGAATAGGGATTTCTAGGTTTAGGATTAGTTATACATGGGTAAGTAGGGCATTATTTAAGGATACAGGACAGGAATTCATAGGTTTAAGGCGAAGGGTAAAGATGATTAATTTGATGTGATTTATTGGAATTTAATTGAATCCTCTACTACAACAAAAGCTAAATTTTTGTTTTGTTTATTTAATGAAATTTACAACTGTGTACAAATACAACTAGTAAATATGCGCAAATTATAAATAATGACATGTGCAGGCTTGAAGAGGTACTACCCAGTCGTAGCACTCCCTAAATAATTTTAAGTAAGAAGATCACGAGGCCATCTCCTTTTCAGACGCCTAGGAGGATTATCAGGGATCGAGGAAGAAGCAAGAGTGGAAACAAGCGGATTTGGATGGGAGTGAAGTTTATCATGAAAAGATAGATATCTGGCTCGAGCTAAAAAAAAAAAAGTTAAATTTTTAAACGCCTTTATGTACTCAATGAAAGCTTAACAGAATTATAAGTACTCATAATGTGATTTTATTTTAAAATATTCATATAACAGACATAAGTAAACGTGATGAGTGGTTAATAAAATTATGTAAAGAAACTATTTAAGTTCTCTAACCTATCCAAATATACTCAATGCAAGTAGGTACAGCGATCGATTGGGGAGAACGAAACTTGTTAGAAACGAACTAAAGTCGAAGTTGTTAGGAAGTTTAAATTGGAATTATAGGCCAAATCAAAAATACACATATTATTTTATATATAATATATGTGAAATATATTTAATATAATTTTATTTTGAACAGAATAGGGATTTCACATTATAAGTTTTGAATAAATTAGATACCCTCCGAGGCGTGTGAAAAGAAGATGGCCTTGTGATCTACTTATGTAAATATATTATTAGATTGCTAGCAATGGGTAGTTTCTCAACAAGCGTTTTCATGTGATTGTATTGTTAATGTGTGCACAGTTACTAGTTGTATTTTTTTATAATACAGTTGTAAAAGCAATGAATAAAAAAAAAGAATACATTAGAAATTAAGAAATTCATCGGTGTAGTAGATACCAAAGCTGAACTCTTTCTGAATATAGTCATATAAATTTAATTAACACCTTTCATTAAATAATTAAATATTAATAATGAACTATTGATAATTCAATGAGCAAATACAATTATTCAGAAAATTTGAAAATTGAATGCCTTGCTAATAAACATAAATGAAATATATTTATAATTTTAGACACATGAAATATTATTACAATATTAATATGACAAGTGGCTTTTCATTGTTCCATTCAATCTTTTCGTTGTGAAATAAAAGAACTGCATCGTAATCGATCGGAGAGGTTTAAAAGTGTTGTGCAATATCAGATATTTAAAGAGATTGAAAATAAAAAAAGCGAATTAAAATCTGCTGAATAAATAAAAGTATAATGTATATGAACGATCGGTTATTTTTAACTGTTACTTCCTTTTAACGATTTAAAACTGATATGGATGTTATTGTTATTAATTTATTATAATTATAACGTTTAATCACAAAAATTAATTTGAACGGAAAGAATTAAATTTTAATTAAAAATTCATATTAAGATGTTTTCTTCATTATAATAAAAATACTTTAGAAATGGGAAAGCAGTCGACTGATGAATCATAAGGATAAAATAAAATGATTAAGAATTTCAGTCAATATTTTTTTAATGAGTTAGTCGACGTTTCAAACCAAACATGTGGATCAACTCAATTCAATGAAATTTTGACTGAAATTTATGGCAATTTCTTTTCATCCTTAAAATAAAAAAAATAAAAAAATATATTACTCATATAATTAGGGATTGTAATTTAATAGGAACCTTTAACATTTAAAGTAAAAAGTAACGAGAATAACTGCTATTTTTAGATTATATAAAAAATTAGCAGGAGCAGTTCCCAATTCAGCTACATTTAGAGCCAATTATGTTCAATTTCTCAACCTAAAAGGCAACGCAATGGTGAGGTCAGTTACTAATGTATTCAAATGAATACATCGGAATACCGAAATTATAGTTATTAACTCTTCGCCGAAATTTCTAAAAAGAAATCAACCAAACGGGAACAATTTAACAATTTATATGATGGCTAAAAGTTAAATGGTGCCTCTGGTTTCATTAAGAGTCAACAACTGGTATTGAGGTAGTGTGGCACAAGGTCTCGCAATCTTGATATATATATATATATATATATATATATATATATAATATATATATATATATATATACATATACATATATATACATATATATACATACATATAGTATATATACAACCCCTGTTTATATATTAAAAAAATACGTTAAATGCCTTGGTTAATCAATAATGATTTAGTTTTAGGGTTAACACTAATGAAATATAAAAGGAATAAAAAATAAAAATAAAAGCCAATTCTTCTAAAACATAACGTATTTCAAAGTTGGACATAAACTAGACATAGACGCATTAAGGCCATAAATTCTTTTCTTAAAAACCTCCCAAAAATATCAGGCTTGTCCACTCACACGACTTTCCTACCGATTTTAGACAAATCTGTACTGATCCGATTTAGATTTTTTTTAGTAATAAACTTTCGAAAAATGGGTTGAAAATGTATTTTAGAAAAAAAAAAAAGAAGAAGTACGAAATTGGTCTACTCGTTCCCAAAATCACAGAAAGACATACAGAGACCATGGCTGAAATGTGTTTTTTTAACTCTGGGGGCTCAGAAACGTAAATATACGTTGAAAACCGCACATTCGAAATTCGACCCGATCGCAATACATTTTTTTCTTATGTTGATATGAAAGTAATAAAATAAAAAAAAAAAAAATCTGGTTATATATTTTCTGCTTTTGTAAAAAAAAACCATTATCATTTTGCTAATAATAGTTCGATTCCTATGATTTTTCCTTTTTGATGGGAATCAAAAACCTTTCAAAAGATCCTATTTAAATTTTACCGTGGAATGTACACACTGGGCGAGTTAGGCCCCAACACATATTTATTTTCTTCATAACTTTTTGTCCTGAATTTTCTCGAGAATTCACTAACATAAAATTAAAAGAAAGTTTCATCAATACCGGTGTAGAGGCCATTTTGCGCTATAATCTAAGGAAAAACATGTTCTTGTTTTATTACGGAGCGACTATTGCGCAGGGAGTTCTTAATTTGTTTCACAGGCATCAGTAGTCCAAAACTTACAAAATAAAAAAAAAAAGTATAAAATCGGTCTACTCGTTAACAAGAAAATTTTAGAACAGACAGACCAATGGCTGAAAACTGGATTTTTTTGGGACTCAGGGGGCATAGGGACCTAAAGATTCGTTGAAAACCGCACATCGGATAATTGACTCGAACGTAATACTTCCCTTATTTAGCGGTAGGAAAAAACTGTCGATGAAATACAATATGCCTTTTAAGAACCGCAAAAAAAAAAAATAATAATAATTTTATAGACATACGGATTAAGTAATAAAATTATGTCAATTCATAGTTTATTATAGATATCCTTAAAAATTAAACTCTAGTTATCATAAATTATTTATTCTACTTATATACGTTTTATTTTACTTTACCTTTTTTTATATTTGTAATAGAATAAGATTAATAGTAATAAATATATTTTTTTTTTATTAATGACTTCAATGTAACGGTCATTTGCATCATGAAAATAAGCGTAAGAGATTCAAAAATAAAAAGGATGAAAATGGAACAGAATAGGTTCAATTGAATATAATTTATCCAATGTTCTTAAAAGATACATGAAAGTAGCTTTAAAATATTAAATTATTACATATATATTACTACTTATAACACTATTTACTTATATTATACAAAAACAAACTAATTCACTTATACAATTGACGTCAAGTTATGGACGTAAATTCAGTTAAGTGCTGCCAATTTAGCAAGCTTCATCTATACAATTCATTCGACATTGAATAAATGATACCCGACAAATGGCGAATCGTTTAATTCATAATATCAGCTAATACTATTTTAAATCGTCATTCATTCAAATGTAAAAAAAAACAAAAAAAAAAAAACGTGTAAATGGTCTAAGTACAACGATCCTAAATTATGAACCGTTATAATAATAAAATAACAATAAAAATAAATAATAATAATTAATACTTGTTAAAGTTTTTTTTTTTTTTTCATTATTTAAGCGGTTGTTTTTTCTTTTCTTTATTTTCTGTTTGCATTACAAATTTTATAGATTTTTTTGGCGCCTTAACAAGCCTACTCCATCTCTGTCTATTTTGGGCTATTTCAACATGATCTTTTGCCTACTACTGAGGCATTCATTGTCGTGTAGAGGATTCCAGATGGATTGCTCCGAGTTATATGCCGCGCCCATCTTAACCTCTGTACCCTCGGATCATGAGATATTGATTGACCAGTTGCTGTAAGCAGTTCTTTATTAATCTTTCTTCTCTATGTGTTAGTACTCTGATTCCAAATCGTCTGGTTATCGTGTGGAGAATTTTCCTCTCAAATCTCAGGCATATTTTGTATACAAAATAATACTGTATTTTTTTAAGTGTATTTTATTTATTTAAAAGTATTTGATATTTTACATATCTTCTGCACCCTATTGCGTCATAGGTAGATCACAATACTTGTCTAGTTTTTCACAATATCTTCATATGTTTTCACTTAAACGTCTTAAGGAACATATATAAATCCTTTATTTACTCTAATTATTTTTTTTAATCGCTAACATTTGTTACCAATAAAACTTATTTAGCGTTTCTTTCCAATTTTATTTAGTTATTACCATGTTTTTGTTTTTGTACCAATATTATAATATTGTAACCGTTGTACCCACCTGCTTTCCTTAATATACCCTCCAAAACTATGTATATACTCATTTTATTACTTAGATTGTAGTTACTCTTTATTATAATAGGTCATCTGGCCAGATTTATTGTCGATTGGTTTGAACAATATTGTTATACTTAAGGGACCTAGTCCCAGAATAAGATGATTTTCTATTCTATGTTAGAACCGACTGATTCAAAATTTTACATTTTACTTTTTTGACTTTTATTTTATTTACATTATTTTATTTTTTATTTATTACTAACATCATACATTATTTCGTGTCAATTAATTATTAAATGTGAATTCATCATTAAACAAACTATTAGTTAATTGGTAGTTTCGTCTTTTGCTTTGCGTTTTCTAAACGTATAGCCAATGTATATAGAACATAGTACTTTAAAAATATTTTAAAAATAAGTCAAATTTTTGCTCGTCAGTTATTTCATTGATTCAAACAATAAAAAAAATCCATTATCTGTGAAAAAATATATAAATTTTTGAAAGTAAATACATAATCACTTCAGCTCTCTACATTCCCCATATAACAGGCATTACAGAACATTTTATTTTCGAGCTGATTTACATGAATGAGAAATATGATTATTCTCATCACGAACTTGTCTCGTCACTAAGAGTCTACTAATGATGTACACGCAATACAATACAAAAAATAATAACGTTCTCTATTGTAACTAAATTATTATAACATAACTAGAAAATAATTTTACGTAAATGAATAAGGGAAAATTCTATACAAAAAGTAGAAAAAATGATGACGAAAGTGAAAAACAAGTATATTAATGGAGACAAACTAGTCAATAAATGGTGTGCTTTTACATTGAAATGCTATTTGACAATGAAAAATATGAGCGCTGGAGAAAAATAAGCTGAGATCTGGGGGAAGGACGAATCTTAAATCTCGGAAGATTAGGAAATGTCACGTCTCCGGGCTAAAAATAATGATGAAGTGCGAAGAAAACGAGTTTCAAGGCCGAAGATGATAAAATCATAATCTATCATTTGTTCTGGAAGGGGAGGAGGGGAGAGAGGATAAAATATTTCGCTTTTCATTTTATAATTCTTCAGAGATTAACAAATTAATACATATAAACTACAATTTAAGGAATAAGGAATAAGAAAATTTTATAATATATTGATTTAAAAAAAGGGTGGATTTCCCAACCTTTCTGAACAGGTCACAACAGTATGAGGAGACACTTTTATGAGATTTTTTTTAAATTTTTATTATTGCAATTTACAACTGAATAATGATAAATACAACTAGTAAATATGAAATATATGGCTAAAGCGCTCTCGCTCAAACTCCACCGGCTTTAGCACCGGTGAGGCGGTTGAGAGAGTAGCGCAGGGATTTGGGTTCCCCGCCTGATTGTATATAGGTATGACTGTATTTTTATGTTTAATTTACTTATATTTAGATTTTTTTTTTTTATTGTATATAGTTTTTATTTATTATTATTTAGTTATTATCTTACTTTTGTTAATTTTTTTTTTTTTTGTATATACGGTGTGAATGTGTTCATTTATCAATATAATTATTTTCCCTGTGACAGAATATTATATGTCTAAATAAATAAATAAAAAAAAAAAAAGAAATAAGTAACTTGACATTTACAACATGAAGAGAAACTACCCATTGGTAGCACTCCAATTATATTTCTATATTAGAAGGTCCCAAGGCCATCTTTTCAGACGCCTCGGAGGGTTATTAAGAATAGAAGAGGAAGCAAGGTTGGAAACAAGAGAGTTCAGAAGTTTATTATGGAAGGATAGGTATCTGCATTGAGCTACATCGGAAACATATGGTACATTAAGGTCGTTATGGATGATTGGATTTCTGACAAAGTAGGGAGCATTGAGGATTTTACGAATGATTTTGGATTGTACGGATTGGATACGAGAGGAATATGATGGTTTAGTAGAGCCCCAAAGCTCGACCCCGTAAGTCCAAATAGGCCTTATTATAGTAATATATATGTTTGCCTATTAAGTGCTGCAGTAGTCGAAAACGTCGGGCGGTTTCTAGTCGTTTCAGTCTGGTATGGGGGTTCCAAGTGAGTCGTTTGTCAAGGTGAAGTCCTAGGGTATCGGATTTACTCAACAGGGATAAGTGGGCTACTGTTGATGGATACTGTAGGGCAGGACGTAATAGGTTTACGACGAAGAGTAAAGGTAATTTGATAGGATTTATTGGAATTTATTTTAATCCTCCAGTTTTGACACCATTTTTCAAGACTTGTGATGTGTGATTGAAGAGTTTGGGATGCAATAGATGGATCGTTATTAATTTGATAGGATACATGTGTCATCAGCCTATGTGGTGATGTTAGTGTTGGATTCGGTTGGGATGTAAGGCCCACTTTTATGAGAAATTTAAAATTAGAAAAATCCCTCTCAGTAGTTTTGGAACAGTGTACCATAATATTGAGTGTAATCTTCAGACATCAGCTGATCTTCAGTATTTTTTTTTTTTTTATTTATTTATTAGACATATAATATTCTGTCACAGGGACAATAATTATATTGATAAATGAACACATTCACACCGTATATACAAAAAAGAAATAAAATTAACAAAAGTAAAATAATAACTAAATAATAATAAATAAAAACTATTTACAATAAAAAAATAAAATAACCACGTCAGTATTAGGAAGAAAATTCGGCCAAGTCCCACTGACTCTGCGATGAAACTCTACAGTGAGAGACCATTAGTTAATACTTGAAGACTATTTCTATAACCTTATTCTCATCTTTAAGGATGATAGCTAATTGGTTTTAATTCAAGACTATTGTGATGCGAGGAATATATATATATATATATATATATATATATATATATATAAGTGTGCGTATATACACCGCCAATTCATTTCTTATCATAAAATAAAGTCATTTCCGATGTCATTTTAATGTGCTAAAAGGTCTCTATTAAAAGAATAATGGATGAATTATTAATTGGCAATGAACTAAATGAATTATAGTAATAAAATAAATAATGGGATAGTGATAATAAATGAAATAGAGAATATATTAACACATGAGTGTAACTTAAGCAACTTAACAGTTAATAAAGATTATGGCAACGTGGGGTTAATTGTATTATAAACGATGAATATGAATCACGATTCTCATTAGCCCAGATCTCTCCATCCGCAGAATCGTTGAATATAATTTATCGTCTTGATATAATTCAATATAATTAACAATTAAACGCAGTAAGGAATGACAGCAATATATTAAACAGATTATTTTTAAAAACTGATATAAGACAGATGTGATATAAAAACCTAGTGATTGAATAATCATTATATTATATTCTTCTCTTTCTATTAAACTCTGAACAAAAATCTGTAAAACTATTAAGACACACATATACCTGCCTTAACACATACAAGTCCAGATCCTAAGTTCACATTTTTTTTTTTAATATTATACAATTATTTGCAAACAGTTATAGGTATCAAATATCTGGTTAGTTCCTTCATACGACTTTTCATAACATTCCTGGATCAATGTATGGTAACATGTTTACTAACAAGTTCCAAAACGTCGTATCTCTGCAACAAATAGTCCGATGTCGATGATTTTTTTTTTAACGAATTTCATTATCTTTAAATGAGCATATCGTCGATTGATTGAAAAAAATTACTTAGTCTATTCTTTGAAATTGATCTAATAGTATGGAAGCCTTAGATGATGGACTGGGTGTGCCCTTAACAAAGAAAGGACTTTAATAAATGTTTATAAATCACTTATAACAAGAAATACAATAATATATATACTTTCGGAATGGATGAATTAAAAATATAAAGTACAGATTATTGGCGTTTCCTGAAATGTGTCTCTGTGATGTGACGTTAATGTGAATGACCTTTCCTTTATAAACGAATTAATCTTTTTACAAATAAATTGTATCGTAAATATACTTAATACATTGTGGAATCTCATCCGAACCAAAAATTGTATTACTTTCACTTTACCATATATGTAATATATAGTCAGGGAAAGTATTGAGATCGTGAAAATTTTTGAATCTGAATTTTCAACGGAAATATACATTTTGAAGTCCCCTGAGTCCACATAACCAAGTCTCGCAAAATGGGGTCGGGGTGGCCGAATGGGCTAAAGCGTGTGCACAGCACCGCGAGATGCCTGGCAACCGAATAACAGAATTTGAGAAGATTATAAAAAGTACTAGTTCGCGTCCCGGTGCCGTAGAGGATTTTAAATTCCCCACCCTCATCCCCCCGGCCCGGGAAAATCCCGTATAGCCTAAAAGGCGAGGTAGGGAAGAACAGAAAAAATAGTTTCGCAAAATGGTCTGTGTGTCTGTTATCAGTCTAGCTCAAAAACGAAAAGTCGTACGAAAGTGAAATTGCATATTTAAGGTTTGTATATACCTCAGATGTTACAGAATCTTATTTGTCAAAATCAGCTTACCAGAAGTGGCACTTAATATCATTGATGTAACTCATTTTTACGATTTTCTCGAAAACGGCTCTAACGATTTTTAGTTAAACTAGGTGTATCAATGTATACTTGAGTAATCTTTAATATCATTTAGGTCTTATCCCTATTGATGTCACTTAACAGGACTTAAATGTCCAATGTCCGAAGTGTCTTCCTCAAAAGAATCATCAATTTGGTTTTTTTTAAGTAATTAACTATCTCTCCAAGTTACTAATTATAAAAAAAGGCTAAATATAAATTTTGAAAGAATTTGATAATTGAATAAATGAGAAAAAAAATAAAAATGCTTACCCAGGTCGAGAATGAATCTTCGGAAATAATAGTCAGAAAGTATACATATAATATATCGTTGGAAAGCGAAGAATTTTAGAAAGAACAATATCTAATATAGAAAGTCGTAGAAGGTAATGGAGAGCGACGAAAAATTATAAATAATAATTTCTGGAAATATTATTTAACGGAAAACACATGTTTTCAAGGAAATTAAATGAAATTTGAAAAGAAGTACTTAAAATCCACCTAATAAAGGCAAATGACATTGTTAAAAAAACTATTTCATTGTACTTGTGTGAAAGAGGAAGTGAAATATAAAAATATTCCATGGATGTATTAAGAATATGTTTATAACCTTAAATAAATTTACTGTAGTTTAATAATTCTAAATATGATATTATATTTAAATAGTTACGTATCGGAATGAACGGACTTTCCGAAAAACGTCATGTAACCTTTATAAAAATTAAATTAGTGAATAAGTAGATGAATTTTTCCTTTGTGAAATCCCAACATTACCTACTTACAATTAGTGTGACAAATTTTTACCTATCTATGAGGGGCAATGAAAATCTCGTAATTTTATTTTAGTAAACTTTGCAATGGAAAATAATAGTTTAATAACTGATAGTCGTACAATCCATAATCAACCGGTGATATAATAAATAGGATTTTGTTATTTTAATGGTATTCATTATTTGTTAGTTGTAAACTTTGAGGTTTAGCGCGGTCAAAATTGCAATTGAAAAATTTTATAATAGCCGTTTATATCGGCAACAACAAAGTTCCTCAGACGGACACTGTACGTTATCTTGGGCCGTTATTCTAAAGAAGGATGACCTGGGGCCCACATGTCAAAATGAAACGAAAGACTTGTACAAACGACTGAAAATAGTATAATCCCTTTTTTCCAAATTATTATTATTATTATTTATTTTAAATGATATTTACAACTGTATACAAAAAATACATCATGTAAATTCGCACATTGTTATAAAGACATGGAACACATGTTGAGAAACTACCCATTGGTAGCACTCTAATAATATGTCTATATTAGAAGATCACGTGGCCATCTTCTTTTCAGACGCCTCGGAGGATTATCAGGAATCGAATAGGAAGCAAGGTTAGAGACAAGAGGGTTGGGATGGTTATGAAGTTTATTATGGAAGGACAGATATCTGGATTGGGCCAAATCTGATACATAAGGAACATTAAGGTCATTATGGATAATTTTATTTGTAACAAAGTAAGGAGCATTGAGGATTTTACGAAGGATTTTGGATTGCAAGGACTGTATGCGAGCGGAATTTGAAGGCTTGGTGGAGCCCCATAGCTCAACCGCGTAAGTCCAAATAGGCCTTATTATAGTCATGTAAATTAATTGGAAGGTTAGAGCGTTTGTCTAGTAAGTGTTGCAGTAGTCGGAAACGTCGAGCTGTTTCTTGTCGTTTCAGTCTGGTATGAGGATTCCAGGTTAGACGTTTGTCCAGATGGAGTCCTAGGTAACGGATTTGTTCAACAGGAATAAGTGAGGTGTTGTTAAAGGATACTGAAGGACAGGAAGTCATTGGTTTACGACGATTTTCCAAATTAAAATTGAAAATCAGACAAAAACTAAATACATAGAACATGGCCAAAAACTAAATAACTACCTACTCAAACCCACATGGCCATACGCCTCACAAATTCATGGTTCTGCAAAAAAAGACGCACTTACAAAAGTACAATAATTTCAATCCAAAATTTTAAGACTAATAACAGCAGCTTCCTGGTACGTAAACAAGAAAACTTTACACACCGACTTACAACAACCGACTATCGACCAACATATATGTACTCTCTACTCCCAATTTCATCTTAATCTACACGGACATGACAACGGAGTTATCAACGACATTGCCACACAACATGGCCAGAATTTTTTTTTTTCAATGTTGAGCGGTAAGTGAAAGTTATGTGTTGAGCGCACTACATTTTTTTTTATACATATCCATTGAATATTATTTTACCATGTGTTTTAAGAAACTCTCAATTCTTAAGTTTCATAAAGTCATCGTATTTCTTATATAATTTTGTGCAATAAATGTAGATTTAAAGCTATCCTAAAATGCGTAGTGAGAACGCCACGTCTTTCCCTTACCCCATTGACATACAGACAATAGTAAACGGTCCTGACATGACCTTTAGGCGGCGGCATTAGGGGCACCTCTCGCGGCATAGGG